CAATCATTGTTCTACTGTAAATCTACTGCGTATGTATGTAGCTTGGTTCCTATCAACATCCTGGACGGTCGTGCTCTGATATTAAGAAATGGTCTAATGAAACATCTTTGGTTGATGGAGAATATTGGATTAGTTTGGGAAGGAGTAAGACTATGAAAACATTTTGTGATATGAAATCCAATGGAGGTATGACTATTAACGTAGCCGTCGCGCGCGCAATTCTCACCTTCTGTTGCTGCAAAGGCTTTCATCTGCATTTAGTGCGTATATATATATATATATATATATATATATATATATATATATATATATATATATATATATATATATATATATATATATATATATATATATATATATTCGAAGAGCGAAATATATATATATCGTGTTGTTGAGCACTCTGCGGAGTTGTAATGGGTGTCTATTAGCGATAATGCAAAGCTCACTTCCCTTGTGGTCGTTTGAGCACTCTGGCCCCATTGCGCTCTGCGCATGTCTGGGTGCGTTGAGTCACCGTGTTGTACCACATGCCTTGGTGAGAGCAAGTTCATGGGATATAAATACGAGTGTCTCACGTATCTAGACGTGTACCAAGCTGCACTGACGAGGCGTTGAACGCCGAAACATGCATGTCTGCAGATTGTACTATTACGCTCCTTCACCTCGGTGTTGTTGAGCACTCTGCGGAGTTGTAATGGGTGTCTATTAGCGATAATGCAAAGCTCACTTCCCTTGTGGTCGTTTGAGCACTCTGGCCCCATTGCGCTCTGCGCATGTCTGGGTGCGTTGAGTCACCGTGTTGTACCACATGCCTTGGTGAGAGCAAGTTCATGGGATATAAATACGAGTGTCTCACGTATCTAGACGTGTACCAAGCTGCACTGACGAGGCGTTGAACGCCGAAACATGCATGTCTGCAGATTGTACTATATATATATATATATATATATATATATATATATATGGACAATGATCACATGTGTTCAGTGGGATATGGACAATGATCACATGTGTTCAGTGGGATATAGAGTCCAGAAAATTAGTTAAAAATCACCCAATTCTGTTTCGACTTATCATAGAACATGATCAGTTGATCACATCACGAATAATTAATTATTTCTTTATATTTTTGGGAAGTATAATCCAACGGTAAGGTAATCCAACTTTGACTAAATAGTGATTAATCCAACTTTGACTAAATAGTGAGTATATATATATATATATATATATACATATATATATATATATATATATATATATATATATATATATATATATATATATATATATATATATAT